TTCTTCCGAGTTAAATGTTGATTTTTATTACAGAGGAGAATTAGTTTCCTTCCTATGTAGAGCCGCAGCATAATCAGTTTTTCATGTGACACAACAAATCCAACTAGTTTCAAGTCCTCTGAGGCTTCAACAGTGAAAAAGGAAAACCTGTAGTGCTCTTTGGTTCATCTTAGCAAAACTGTAATATCTTAAGAGTAGACATCTGTAATATCTGTGCACTGAATGCAGATCAAGATCTGATACCAAGGCTATGAATACAAAGAATTTATGTCCAAAGGGAATTATATCAATTCATATTATGTTTTGAATTTTTATTTCATTGTAAGAATATTTTCATTACGCAAAATTTTATTTTACACGTCTGAAAGTTTGTATACTGTTAATTTGCTTTTCAAATAATAAGGCAAAATTATTTTCTCATCTCTTACTGTCAGTGCTTGCATTTGAGGTTAAATGCTTTGAGAACATAGCAAATGTTAAATTATGATAGATTTTACTACATATAACAGATAAAAACAAACACTAGAGCAAAATTTCATTTACTCTGAAGTTTAACATTAAAGAAAAAACGAATACAAAACCTAATAAATTCAGAGCTGCTCCAGCTCTAAGGTCCAGATCATGTAAAGAGAATAAATTAGTGCAAAATATTTGCCAATTCAAAATAGACAGGGTGGAAGGTTTAGCAGTGATCAGTTAATCTGTCTTTCCAGGTCTCTGCATCTCCCACTAACGACTACTTTCTCCTCCTTCATAAGCCAGTCTATTGAAATCAGTGAGGTGGTTTATGTAGGCAGAGCATGAATTTTTCATCGATAAGCAGTGAGAATACAGAAAAGCAGAGAGAGTTTAAACTACATTTTCATTTTAAGAAATAAAAGTTTCTATCCCTTGTGGGCACAAAGGCATCTTTCTAAACAAGAATTGCTAGATAAATGCTTGGAGACTGAAGACAGTTCATGTGCTTATTTAAAAATTTTACCAACTATTTAGAAGAGGAGAGGCAGCCAAGAAACAGCAGACCTCTGTCAGTTTTGCTGTGGTGAAAGGCTTTCCAGTTAGAAGAGTATGTAACCAATTTCTCTCACACCAACGGGCTAGGAACCTATGAGTAAGACATCTCTATTTAGTATAGCTGAGCTTGAGTCCTGAGCATAGAGCTCCAAAAGCCACCTAGATGGCCAGCTGCCCCACTCTCAAGCTCACTGCCAGTACTCCCTCCTCGAACTGCAGCTCCAAGGAACATCAGAGCAGAGGACAGAGAATCCTTCTTCCGTTTTGACTCAATCTCCAGGTACCATTAGCAGCAGGCCCGGATTCCAGCAATAAAAAGGAAAACAAACAATCAAACAAGCAAAATACAGAAATAAAAAGAAGCAGACGAAAGAGAGCCGCAGCCGCCTTTATTCCGTACAACTACCATAGAGGGCTTATCGGACACTGCTTGATAATATAAGCAGCAGCAGATACGAAGAAATGAAATTATTCATGAAAAGACAATAACATACTTCCTTGTAAATAAAGCTAGCTGGCAGAGGGAAAACACACTTATCCACCAATAACTCTAAAAGTCAAAAAGAAGCAACAATGACAGTGGTGAAAAAGGAAGAAAAAATAATAACTCAGCAGTCTTAGATGATCAGAAGTTTGGCTGGTAGAAATAACACTGATTCCATGTGTTTAAAATTCTTTAAGGGCCTTTGAGCATGAACCATCACTGAGAAAAACAGGTAAAATTTAGCAAATAATAAACAAAATATTTTCCAATTTACATTGTCAGACATTACCATGTAGACACATTGTTCAACAACAAATCACACTGGGGCACTTCCAAGGCCTAATATGAAGTTACACATAATACCAAATACCCATACTCAAAAATGAACAAACTCACTGTGAGCCTAGTATTACTTTCTTCCTTTGCTTACTGGAAAGCTACTCTTACCAATTTGCTGTCAGAAAAGCTCATCTTTATCACTGAGAAGGACACTTTTAAGATGAGGCACAAACAGAACACTACTTCTTTACTTAGAATCAAAGATGAAAATATTGTGAGTGAAGATCTACATAGGGCAGCTGCTATAAATTCTAATACTTTGAAATTCCAGCACTGTGAAACTCCCTATATACACAGTTTGCACTCAAAAGGGTTCAAAAAAGAATGCTTTTACAGGAATAAAAGTAGAGGCAATAAAAAGGAAGTCAAGCTAGAGGCACTAAGTTTGTTTAACAACTTATAATTAAGTAAGGAAAGGAATATAGACTTCATTAATTGTGGTATGGAAGAATACAATACTCCGAGCTGAACTGAAATATGTTTCACAATAGTCCAATGTGAGAACTCAAAAGTAAGGCTTTGGGGACCTCTGAAAGATCTGAGACTACTGAGTGAACTTGCAATGTCAGAAAGTTCCTGGAATCCCCAAATCAGATACAGTGTAGTGTAAGATACTCTAAGACTTCAACAGAATAGAACCAAATGAGGAAAAACTTTGTGCAAGATAAAACAAGACATAAGTCAGCAAACCTTACACCCTTTGAAATCCTGGCAGGAGGCAGAGGAAGATTCTATCAAAAAAAAAAACTGTAAAATTCCATTAGGATTGGTTATTAAAAAGAAAAGCAGAATATTGTATAAAGATTTGAATCAGATCCAGTTATTTGACAATTATGTTCTGTATGTAAGAACTTGACAAGAAATTTTCAAAGAGAAAATACGCATTCTGCTGTATTCAGAAGAACAGGTTTCTACTTTTTTCTTCTCTTTTTTTTTTTTTTTTTCCTCCTGGAAACACCTACACAAGAACACAATATCAGCTTGAGTACGAATCAAACACTCAAAAGCTGAACTTTTCTGAACAAAATGATCTTTGAAAAAATTAAAGTTTAAAGGTCTGACCTAAACTGATATGTGATGATAAGGTGATTCTTACACAGATCTAACTACAACTAAAAAAACAAGCACTAAAATAAATCAGATTGTAACCTTTTCAGATCATTTTCTGCAGTGCTCTACATGTCCTACAACTTGCCCTACCATAGGTAATACAATTTAGACATTAGGTCTCATTGAGAAAAACAGTATCACAGACGAACATGAACTCATGGGTAAAGAAAAAGTGGAAGACTAAAATACACAAGTTACAAAGGAAAATACAAATTACTACCAAGTAGTTAACCACATGAGAAACAAAGCAGGAAATTACTTTTCAGAAAAGCACAACACAGAGCATGCAGAATTAGTGTCCAGTGTTGTATATGTCAAGAAGCTCAAAGTAAGTGCATCCAATACATGCTGAGATTCACTGTGCTTAGCAGTCAAAATTCCATTTTGATAATCCTCATATCATGCCCAAATCCCGCTGTTAAAAATGAAGATGTTTGAACATAAACATGAATGTTAAAGTTGAAAGACAACTGCTAAGTACAGACATATGCTGCCACAGTTAAGTATTTCCCAAGCTGCAGCAGTACTGTGCAAGCTGAGCTGGGCTCCCAGCAATGCAACTCTATGAGCTCACTGAACCAGCTACTTTGCTTTATCATCAATTCTTCTCTACAACAGGGTCATTGCCTCAGCTTGATTTTTAACTACATCACTTTCCTGAAAAAGCAGATTTCATTGAACACTTTGAAAGCCTTGTACTGGCTCCTCAACCACATACTGCACAATGCACACAACTTCACACAGCATCTGCAGTCACACTTGTGGTAAGACTAGCAAGGCTTGTTCAGGAAGCACATGGATGCTTTTTTGTTTTATTTATCTCCATCTCTCACCAGGATAAGCAGAGCACCTAAGAAACTGCATTTTTCTGTATTATTACCTGTGTGTTTTAAAGACAATATCACACCTTTCGCAGTGGAATTCAGTCCAATTCTACCCAATTTGGCACCAATAACCCCATGCGAAAAGCTGGAGAAAAAAATTTAAAAAATCCTTGCAACATGTCCTTTAAACTCTATGATCACTGATAGTAAGCAAATTCTAGAAATGAAGATCAGTACATGAAGCACATCGTGCCATGTGCAACTTCCATAGTAGCCTATGGTCACTTGGGAGTGTCTTTGACAATCCTGAAGGATGTCAGGTAAGGAAGCAGATGGGTGCTCACATACAAGCAACTGAGGGCAAAGCGTGGTGTGGGAGCCATGGGTCTGATAAAGCAGTATCCCGAGCCAGATTCCATCCTTATTCTCACTTGCAGAGGCAAGGCCCTGAGCAAGACTCATTTGTCAGGATGCACGTGGTGCTTCGGAGCTCTGAGAAGCGCCCGAGAACTTACATGTGAAGGGGCAGCAGAGGAAGGTGCACACTTTATTTTGCATCAATCTCCTCGGGTCACAGAGAGCAGGAAGTATCCTGCTCGGAAAGCAGCAGTTTAGCGAGCTGCACCTTGTCGTAGAGTGACGTGTGTGTTTGTGTGTGTGTGTGTGTGCGGGTGGTTTTGCACTGTGTGAGGCTTGCAACTGGAGACAGCGGCTGGAGGAGGCGGTTGGAGCTGGTGGCGCGGCCTGAGCCCGCTCTCAGCGTGCAGCAGGCCGCCGCCCGGCAGAGCAGCCCGCCCAGCGCCGCACCGCGCCGGGGACAGGAAGCACTTACCTAGGGAACTTCTCCTTCAGCTTCCTCAGGCTCTGCCGGGTGGGCTGCACGTGCCCCAGGAACTGGGCTATTTCATCGTACTGGGCTTTGGTGAGCTTCATGCCTCGCGGCGCCAAGAAATGGCCGAGTTGTGCCTCTCCGGCCCCGAACAACGAGGCGGGGAGAGGCGGGAGGCAGCGCACCCGTAATCGGGGGATCGGGGCGACAGCCCCCCAAGGCGCCCTTTACTCCCAGCCCGCCGATCACACAGCGCGGGCCACTGCCGCCCCACTTCCCGCAGCTCCGCCCCGCGGCCCGGCCGGGGCGGTGAGAGGGGCGGAGCGGTGTGGCCGGGCGGAGAGAGCCGAGCAGAAAAGCGAAGTGGGGCCCCATGCGAGTTGGCTCTGCGCAGCCGCCGTTTGTGTAGCTGTCGGCTACTGGCGGCTGTTTCGACGTGCTCTTCTGGTCCTCGCTTGTGGAGGAGAGGAGGGCGGTGGTGGCTGCCGCCACAGTGCCGAGGAAGTGCCCGCTGGCTTTCCTATCTGAGAGGGCTGGAGGAGAGCTGGCAGAGGCCTTTGCATTACTCTCTGCATTACTCTCTGCAGTGGCACCTCAGCTTCGCGGGGCTGGAGGCCAAAGCAGGGGGAAGCTGATCTGCAGCCCACTCCATTACAGTTCTAAGGTATGGCTTTGAACTGTATGGCTTGGTAATGACTGTTTCTCCTGATTTTTGGTTTAAAAAAAAAAAAACAAAAAAAAAAAAAAAAAACACAAAAGCAAGAAACAAACTCGATGCAGAAAGTGGCACAGTAGTGCAGCAGTGGATCCTAAGTGGGGCTTACAACTTTGCATGTGTATGCAGGAATTAAAGTTTTCTGTTAAATTTTAGAAGGAAACTGTCTCCCGGCTGAACCAGCCCAACTAATTTAGCCATTTCCTGTAGGAAAAGTGCTCCAGCACTCTGATGATCCTGGTTGCCTGCATGACCAGCTCCATGTCCTTGTGCTGGAGGATCTAGAGCTGAATGCTGTACTGATGGGGCCTTATGAAGGGTGGAGTAGAGGGAGAAAACTGCCTCCCTCACCTCTTTTGATACAGCCCAGGGTACAGTTGGCCTTCTAATCGTTAGAATTATGACTTTTTTTTTTTCTTTCTGGCATTTATGTTTAAAGTAACTAAGTACTTTTTCTTTACTACTACTACAGGTCCTTTAGAAAGAAATAAATAGTGATCCTTAAAGTCTTGCTGTGTTTGTTGTGAGATCATTTCTAATGAAGTTGTTTTTTAAAACAATAATGTTACCAGATATAACTTCTAGACTTATTTCTGTTCATCTCCTTTGCTCAGTACTACATTTTTGATTATTATTATGTTTTTAAATCACATGATGCTCAATTTGCAATGCAGACATATGGAGTGATTTAGAACAGTAGTATGAAATAAACAGTTCATTGACCAATGTTTTGTATGTGTATTAGGTGTATTTATCTGACATACATGTTAGCTATATATTTGATTCTTAGATTCTTGTACTGGAATGGAGTTATGTAGGTTTCAAAATTGTTTTAAAATTTAAGTAAATAACCTTCTAGCATTAAGGTCCAGTAAAATTGAGATGAACTAATAGCAAGCTATAGTAAGGAGATAGTCTCAGGTATGTAAACTGCTGCTTTTATCTCAAGGAAGCATTTACAGTGAAATGCGAAACATGGTTGGGAAGTGTAGTATGTGAAATATAACTCACTCTGTGAGTTATATTTTAGATTAGTTAAGTTGTTCCAATGAGAAAGAAATCACAGAATTGTTGGGGTTGTAAGAGGCCTCTGGAATTCAGCCCCCTTGCTGAAGCAAATTCCCTAGTGTACATTGCACCTGAAAGCATCCATTCACAACCTCTCTTGACAGCCTACTTCAGTGTTCTGTCACTCTCATAGTAAAGCTTTTTTTTTCATGTAGTGCCCATTGTCCCTTGTCCTCTTGCTGGGCACCAGCAAGAAGAGTCTTGATTCCCACCCTTTAGATATTTATAGGTGTTGATTAGATCCCTTCTCAGTATTCCCCAGGCTGGATGGTTCCAGGGAGGCTTAGGAATTCTGAGCTGCAAATGGTTGGATACTGGCCTATAGGCTTCATTTGTTCTCATATTCCTTTCTTGGTGTCTGTCCTTGGCAAATTGTTTTTCTTGCCTTGGGGTTTTAGTCCATCTATTATAAAAACTAAGTTTTCATCCAAAAAAGTATGCAGAACTGAAGAAAAAAAAGTAGTAGTGGGAGAACCAAATGATTGGAAATGAAAAATGGAGGGAGAAAATGAAAAAGAGCATGTAAGCTGTAGGGGTGAAAATCAGGAAACTTATGATACACCTGGCAGAGAACTTCCAGTAATAATTATCATTGCTTGATGACAGTCTTAGCTACAGTTGGTGTATGATAGCAAGTAATGGCAACTTGGTCTGTTTCATTTGGCTAGTTTATTTTTATTTAATTCTATTATTTTGTGCTAGTTTGTAGTTTTAGCTGTTATTAGCAGGTGTACTCCATTATCTTGAAAAGGTGATTGCATAGTGTGATTTACAGCCAAGTTCAGAGAGAAAATATCTCCACAGAGCTTAAAAGCACTATGTTTTGAGAATACTTAATGATACTTAATGGTAGTATGATATTATGGGGAATCAATTCATGCACAAAGTGCAAGTTTTTATTAGATTTTTATGACCATCCAGTTGTCTTTTTATTTGACCACCCTACTTCTTCATAGACACAATCTCTGTTCTGCATTGCTTTCTGTAGCAAAATTAATGCAAAGCATGCTAGTATCCATTTATATTTTCTAGTCCATTTGTATCTGTTTGTGTTGGAAACTGTAAAACTAAAATCTCATTATTAGAGTGTTTATTACAATTTTCTGAAGTTTGTAATGTTCAAACTTTAGTTTGATGGTCATTTTTGCAAGTAATCTTTTCTCGAGAAACGCAGCTCTGCTCGTTTAACATCTTTGTTAAAGAAAACTTGAGCAACGTTTCTGCTTAACTTGTTAGCAACTGTATCTGTAACAGGTCTACTAAACACACCTCAGTAGATAAAATTTAGGATACAGTTGTTACCTCATAAAAAACCGAGAACCCTCAGGTTTTTATCTCATTTGTATCCATGGGTTTTAATGTACTTTTTGAAAGTGATTGTGCTGTGAAAGAACCTGATATGTTCAGTTTGTTATCCAAAGGAGAGAAAAAAAAAAAAAAAAAAAAAAAAAAAGAACAGTTGGTCTATACATCACTGTTAAACACTGACAGTTTTGCCAATTCACTAGTCACTGTAAGTTTCTGATCTTTTTTTTCCCCCTACAAGTATTCATGGAGTTGCTTGGCACTGCAACTGTCCGAAAAGCATGACAACAGCAGAATTGTTATACAAGATATTCAAGGGGGCAAGTAGGCTTTTCTTTTTTTGTTCTGTGTCTTCAGCCAAGTTTCTAATAGTCACCTGAGTAACTCAGACAAATTAAGTCAGTTTTCAGTAATATTATATCCAATATATCTTTCTTCATAATATTTATTTACTTATTGAATCAACTCAGGAAAAAAAAAAGTCTTTGCATAGTGTTTTGCAAACACTGCTTTACATGGGGCTCAGTTATCAATTGAAAGCATATCAATTTTAATGGACTTGGAAACAGACTTCTTATGGTTCTAAGCTGCATGTTTATGTATTTTTTGTAACAAGCTGTAAAGGAATCTTGAAAATAGTGAGTTATTAAAAATCAGTTTCTATAAATGAGTTGATAATATGCTCTAAGTGTTCTATCCTACTGCTTCTCTCTCCTGTAGTTCTACATGATGAAATATCTGGTGTTTGGAATTCCTTTTTGAAGTTCTCAATAGTTGGATGCAGAAACCTGTGTGAAAATATCCACTTTCAAATTCAGGTACTTAATGTTTATTCGCCCTTGTCTCTGTGTTTTAAAATATCATCAAATACAGTATACTGCTTTTCTCCCAGGGGGATTTCAACTTCATTCATTGTGCAGAGGAAATACTGTAGTTGTGTGATGAATTGCATTGTTTTCTGTAGGACCTTTACCTCCTTTGTTGCTTCATTCACCCAAGTACAAATTCTTCAGGATCAACAGAAAGAACAAGTGTTAAGGTAGTTTGACTGCTGCCCAGGTAATAGGTATTCTCTCCTTGCTTCCTTTGTGTTCCACTTCATGGAAGTGTGAAGTCCATTGATACAGTTATTTTTCCATGTGGCCTTTTTTTTAATACAACATACACAGTACTATGTGCCAGATCTTTAATTTAATTACATAGGTGCTATAATCTACTGCCTAAAGAGATCATCTTGACCTACTCTGGCCAGTTTCTGAGCAATACCTATGCACCTGTATTACTGCTACTGCTGATTTTGTGCATACAGCTGTCAGGCAAATCAGCGGATTCAGATGATAACTTAACTTGGCAGAAGAAAATAGCTATAAAAATAATATTTATTTCATCTAAATCAATGTGTGAGTCTAACTCTCTGGGAGGAAATAGGGTTGCACAGAGCTGCAAGACTACTTTCCCTAGACGGTAGCAGAGCTACCTGGGGGATTAACCTTACAAATTACACATCTAAATTAGGTGCCAACCATTAAGCAATATGATTATCCTGCATATGTTCTTCTTAGAATTTACATTTAAAAGCCTAATTACGCGAAATGCTAAGCACTGTCAATGGAATTGAAATTAATGGAAGTTTTACTTTGAACATGCAAGGTACTGAGCACAGTGTTCAGAAAAGTGAGGTCCTAAGTGTATTATGCTGCAGAAACCAAATCAGTGAACAGTTTTGGCCTAGATCTTTCAAATTAATTTCATACATACACATAGATATATACATATGTATATACACACCTACACAAATTTATACAAAAATACATGACAGATGAAAAGGAGTATTGAAAATGTATTAATATATATAATCATGCTAGTGTTTATGCAATACGCTACTATGGTGATGAGCTTCATTATAAAATATATATGAAATTAGTAAGACTATTCTTAGTATGCATGGCATGGATAAATTAAATAATAAAAGAGGCCAAATTTTGAGTTTGAAGGTTAGGAAGAAATACTACAGAGGTGTATTGCCTGTTTTTTTTTCTGGTAATAAGGCTATAAAGCACTATCTTGCATTATAGGTAAACAGAAGAATTGAACAATCAATTCCTCAAAATGAGCAGAAAAACTTCCAAGTGTTTCAGCTTGACTTTGTGACAGTAATTCTGCAGTGTGCAAGTATATTAAAAAAAAATTAACCCAACTAAATTACAACTATTCTGATGTCATAAAAATATACTTTGTGATATTGTATTCCATTTTCAGTATTTATTTTTTAGTTTGCTAATTGACAATTAATTGCAAAAGTTCAATCACTTTGAAGCATTTTTCCCAAGCATTACTTTGAGACAACAAGACTTTACTAAGTTTTTTAATAAACTTAGTAGAAAACATAGACTACTTAGACATACTCTGACATACTATTTCTTTTTTTCTTACAGTCAAAAGAATTTCAGGTAGAAAGATAAATGCTACAGAAGCCTAAAACTAGCCCCTGTATTTCAATTCACGTCTTCAAAGCAAATTTCTGCAAGATAAAAAAAAATTCTGCCTGAGCAGGAATTATGAAAGAGAAAACAGATTGATGTTAACTCCCTGACCCATTGATTCAACCAGTACCTATTAGCTGACTACAGGGACTTATATTTGTAGAATTTTGTGGTGCTATGGTAATTTGGTTCTTTTTTGTGTCCACCTTCTTTTACTCCCACATAGAGAAAAATGAAAAAAATAAACAACCAAAGGAAGGCTGGCTTGTATAGCTTTCTATGATTCATCACATGTAATATTTTACTTCAATGGGGGCTGCATATGATTAGCTAGCCCAAAAAAAGATTATTATGTGTAGTCTGGAACACTAAGCATATGACAGTTTTTCTGGAACTTTGGTTTAGTTTAGATCAGATAAGCTTTGGGAGGGAAATAAAAGTATATTAAGGGCTTTTTCCACTTGTAGTGAAATCTGTATTGTCACCATGTACTTAAGGGCTTGAGTTGAATAGCTGAGATTTCATTTGCTGTTTTTCTTCCAAAATACCTGATGTCTTATTGCCCAAGGATTCTAACCTACCATTGCAAGTATTTTTCACTGCTAAAGGACTGTAGTCTTGAATAATTGTCACAGAATTATAGAAATGTAGAATGCAACTAAACTCATGAGATCATGCAGGCAGCCAGATCAGATATTTGATAGGATCAAATACAACTGCACTATCTCATACAGAAACATTTCTAATTTGTTATTATAGATTTCCATAAAAAACGTTTTCATCATCTCTATTGGCAACATGTTCTTGTATTTTACTTCACTTGAAGTTTGAAAGCTTGTTTCTAATGTTTATTCCTGGACTCACATATTGCAAATTAAAGCACTTTCTGTTCTATACTTTGAGGAAAGGGAAGAATGATAAATCACTAGCTTTTTTTTTTTTAACCTTTTTTCAAGGTTACTGTATTGCTGACCCATGTCTCCAGTTTTTGTTTTGTATTGCATGCAAGCTCATTCCTTTCAATCTTTTTTTTTTTTTTGCATGTCATTTTTTTTTTTTCTGAAAAGGGTTATCATTTTTTCCCTCTGTTTGGAATGTTCTTAAAATCCAGTGCAAAAACTACTCCAGCTGAGACATTTCATTTTGCTGACTAGATGAAAATTCTAATTTTTTTTTTAAAGAAAATTCCTTCATACAATTTCTCAACTTACTGGGGAAAAAAAAATCACATTGCAAGCTTTTATTCTGCTTTAACACACTTTTCAGTTTGTCATGCTGGCTCATGGAAGTAGCACTATTAAGAAGTAAAACATATATAATGCAGTAGATATCCAGGCCTGTCTCATAATAGGGGATTCAGGGTGCAAATCATAAGAAAATAATAATCTGGAATACTATTAGGTGACCACTGTAAAATTTCAAATATTTTTCCATGAAAGTTTATAATAGTATTACAATTTTGTGAGTCTTCTATTTCTTTTGATATCCACTCACTCTTTCTAACACATGTAAAGCATACTTGACATTTATAATAATGGAATGATTAGGCATGTTACTGACATCAAGGTTTAAGGAACAGGGTGACATAGGGAATTTATGTTCCACTTTAATCCATTTATTAGCCTCCCCTGGGACCTGTTTTTAAATCTAACTTGAGCCATACCAATCTTGGGGAAAGAAAAATCTGCCTAATCCAATGGCCAGTAAAACATGTAGATGTAAGAAATTGTCAAAGCTTCCACCAAACCCTTTTTTAGTAATAAAAATATTAATGACTTGTATGATGACATTCTCACTGGAATCATATGGTTACTTTTTTAGAACTAGTGTTTTTCAATTCAGGAAGATAGTATAGATGGATTGTTTAAGGCAGTAATAAATGAAATATAAACATGTAATTCCATACAGCACTAGTCATTAATGGTTTCTTTACACATCATATCATTTTTTATTTCAGTTCTAAAAAGAAAAAAATCTTTCTAGGTTAACAGTGCTTTTTTGTTGTTGTTGTTGGGGAAAAAAGGTTTGAGTGTACTTGCATCCAGCAAATATCTACAGTAATACTAAAATCAGTTGTTTAAAAAATATCCAGATTGGCACTGCAGATTGCCAAAATACAGTTCTAAGGTAGGTCTCCTATTCTTTTGTAATAAAACATTTGCCCTTTTTGTCAAACTAAGTGAAATTGCCACTTGGTTAGTAATAAGAGATGTATAAGACCAGATTCTGTTTTTACTTACATTAGTGTGAGTCTAGAATCTCTTAGAGTCCAAGCAATGTAAAGATACTCAATTTATGCTGATGTTGTTGCTTATCTTTGTAGTGTAAGCTGTGGTAACAGTATTAATGCCATTACTTGATATTAGGTGTTCATATTCAGACAAATATCTGGAGAAATTCAAGTCAGATGTTGATGCGGGGAACTGTATTTTGTGTGTTCATTCAGAATAATTTGCTGCCTATTGAGGTGCCAATCTCAGGGTTTAAAGATGAAAAGTACATTTCCATTAGTCAAATATTTATGAAAAGAACGCAACATATTTAAACCTTGTTGACCTTTACACAGTTATGACATATACATCATCACAGTTATCCTTACTATTCATTTTGTCTGAAAAGAGTAAAGCTAGAGGTTAAGTAGTCCCTAAGGGTAAGTTAAAATGTAGATTACTGCCGTGTTGAATGGCTTTAGTATACCTTGTGTCTTTTGTGGCAGGTTGAGGAGACCGCTCAAAGCGATAAAGTAGGTTGCTAGATGATACAATTTAAGAAAAAAGCCTAGAAAATGAGTTTATTGTTATTTAGTATTGTAAAGATCGTATTTGATAATACATTTGTGCTAGATGTGCAAATATGTATCTTTCAGCTGATGTGTTCAAAATGGGTTTAAATTAAATGAGTTAATACATTTTTCTTTGATCTGAGGCTAGAAGGAAGTCACTATGGTCATTCAACAAGATCTCCTGCATTACATATGTTGTAACTCTTTAATTAATTACAATTCAGCACCTGTGACTGAATAGATAACATTTTTAAATCAAAAGAGTAACCAAAGCGATCTTTAACTTTTGACTTAAAATCATACTGGAGTACAATAGTCCTGTTCTGTCTGGTTAATTACTTTCACTGATGATTGAAAGTAGCCTGATTTATTTATTGCTTTTGTTACACCTCAATTTCCTGATTTTGGTAGTTTGGTGGGTTTATCAACTTACAGTCAGTATTGCTTCTCAAGTCACCATTTAAACACTTCTTTGATTAGTAAAGTAGATCTTTAATTATCTTCATCCAAATACTAAATGTGTTGCTGATGTTCTTCAAAGGCCTTTTTAAAC